GTGTGATACCTGGCCATCATTTGGGACTGAACCAGCTGATATTAACTTGCACTGACAAGGGGCAGGCTGGCTTTGTAATTACTGAGAGAGTTCAGCTGATGTCTTGGCTTTCCATGCCTTTTTACGCATTTTACCCATCGCACATGTGAGCACACATGTGGAGCAGTGGGCTGCCAATTAAAGCGCCTGGGGAGCAGCTGTGGGGTTAAGGGCCTTGCTCAAGGGCCCAAGGTGGGGCTGGTTGGTCTGCGGGAGTCGAACCAGCGACCTTCCAATCACAGACTCGGCTTCTCTACCCTCTGCGCCACCACCCCCCCTTTCTTCATGTGTTCAATACTTTTTCCCTGTGCCGTTCCACATTATTACAAATAACTTCAATTCTGGACATTTATGGTTTGATTTCTTTGTATGTATGGATCACTTGGGTTGTTACTGACATCTGGTGAAAATTTCACGTCATTAGCACCTCTAGTAATATATTTACTGAGAAAAATGGTGACGTGTTCAATACTTATTTTACCAGCTGTATATTTTATATATTGACATATATATAATATACGTAAGCGATACACTAAGAAAATACTGCTGTCTTAACAATTGTTCAAAAATATAAAGCTTAAGTATGGAAATACTTGTATTACTTTTATCAGAATGTTTTAAGTGCATAATATAAACAACTATTACAAAAACCTACTTATAACTGTTACATATGTGTTCATTTTTTGACACTTTAAGAAGTGTCCTATCTGATTTAAAACAAATTTAACTCTCAAAGTAGTGCAAATACACACAGACAGTGACAAATTCGTATGTTTGTTACCTGTGTTGACAGAACTTCCATCGGGATTGTAGTCTACCTCAGCCTCACTGACACCAGCATCACGGATGGTCTTCCTCTCCCCATCTTCATCTTCGTTGTCACTGCCTTCATCCTCGCTGCTGCTGTAGTAGTACTGCAGCTTCTCGCCCAGCAGTTTGTCATCCAGAGTGGTCATGACAGCAGGTCACCTATGGGCAAACACAACACTACACACTCTTCACATCAGGAACACTTTATAGGTTGAGCACATTAATCTGATGACAAAGCATACTGACAGACATCCAGTCTGTTATAAGGAAAGGCTTATTTGAAAAATAGGACATGTGAGCTTAAAGAGGCGCGTCAGATTAAATAAACCTAAGCTGAGAGGCCTTATGGTACTCTAATCCGTATAAAACCCAGCCTCTCTTTTGGAGAGGCAAACAGGTAGACAATATTGAAAACTCTCTCGTTTTAGTTACAACATTCTACCTAAATAATATAGTAATATCTCTTTCGTTTCGTTTGGATAGACAAACATCTCCGCTTTAACGAGATAAACAGTAGCTTGAAGGCCTCTATGCCGATGTTATAAACCAAAATAGCTAAGTGGGCAATCCATTCTACTAAGTGATAATGTTATTACTTCAAATGCCAAAAAAGAAATAGAGACAATCCGTTTATTTTTATTATAAAAGTGCATCAGAACAGCAAGTAGTGTCAAGTGTCGTTTAGGCTGGTTTGGCATTAGCCAGAAGCTAAGTAGTTTGACATGCCGGACTAAAGTGACGCCATGTTACTTAAAAAGAACAGATTGTTAAATTTATCGAAACTAGTATATTTTACACAGTAACTAAACCTACATAAACATTTCTCAAAAATATCTTACCGTAGTTCCTTCACAAGCTATCGTGCTTCGACTGTAATATGCTAGTTTAGCAAACCACGCCCCCAGTTTATGATGCTTTAAATACTAACGGGAAAATAGCTAATTTTTTTTTGACGGCGACTATCGTATGGGTTGTGTCTTTATTTGAAAGCGTATTCTCGTTCTTTATCTTCTTGTACTGTGATTTTTTGAAAGCTTATTTATGTACTTATGTTTAGCCTACTGTGGGGGGAAGGGAATACAAATCACGTAAATACGAAACTCACAAACCCACAATCACACATGTAAATAGTATGTGCTTAAAAAGACATGTTTTAGTTTTATGCTGGGGTATATAGTTGGTAGTTTTAGTTTTCACGTTTTGTCAAAAGTGATGCCACTTGACTGGAAATATAATTTTTACTAGGTACATTGAATGCAACACCCAACGCTGGGAGAGATGATGGAAATTCAAACACGCAATTCTCTACATTCTCCACTAGAGGGCAGTATGACAATAAAATTTCATGGAGGTGTGTAGTATGACATTATCTAAGTCAATGCAAAATATCCTACGTGTGCTGCTACATTAACACTGTAATCAGCCTAATTTGCAAAGTCAAAAATGTTTTGATTGAATTATCTTTCTTTAAAAAATATTTCCCACAAAAGGTGGATGGGTTTATGGGTTCACTCACCAGATTGTTAAAACAAATTAAACCCAACCCACCATGAAACCCATGTTATCTTAAAAAACAAGAAGGAAACAAACTGCGCCAGATGTTGTCAAAAGATCCTATTGGATTTAAGAGTTTTATGTATATCTCACGTCACATCCCTGAAATGTCCCGGGGTATCAATGATTTGATGTTTCAGTTTAGTGTGACTGTGCACTCCGATTAAAAAAAAAAACACTTTTCGAAAAGACTGGGTGGGTCATTTCCGTTCCCATAAGTATTCAGAGAGAAGCCAAAAAAATAACAGAGTGAAAGGCAGAGGAACACGAAACAATGCCTAGTAATTTGTTACTTTTAATTAACATTAATGACACATTTTGAGTCTTATTGTTTTATTCCAGTGAATGTTTGAACTGATCAAAGACAGATGACATAATATTGCATGGAAGTGTGAACTGTAACAACTTGTCATACAGTAGGGCAAAAAACTTTAACAAAACCCATATGTTTGACTCCTCACTGGTGGGTTTGTCCAAGTGTAAAACTGACAGTGAGCAAGTTGAAGGAAAAGTCCAGTTCGTTTGTTTATCCTAACATGCTGTGTGCAACCACTTGTTTCATCTTCATATCAGATGTAGAAAGCATAAAGATGGGTCTGCTCATGGTCATAGCTCATCAAGGTGAACTTTCCCATCATTCTTTGCAGGTTTTTCCTCTGCTGGAACTCTGAATGACACATAAGGGCACGTCCTGGTGTTCAGACAGACCAGCTTCTTTAGAGTGGCAGAGTTTACGATGTCGAAGCCAACTTTGCCTCCAAAGGTGCTGGGCTTCCAGTAATCTGGAGAACAGATGGGGTTCCCCATGAGACCCTTGAGAGAAAAGGGGGCGCCCATTTCCACCATGCTTTCTCCAAATACGGCGCCCTGACGCGTTTTCTCCAGCAGTAATCCGGGATAAAATTCAAGCGTGTCGATGTCACCGTACAGCTCTTCGAGTGTGCTGGCTATCTCCTCATCATCTGCAAAAACACAAGCGCAAGTTTTAATCAACATATAAACACACACAGAGCAGGCAACGCTGAATCTCTGCCACAGCTTTATTATCAAAGATTTAGTGAAGTGATTTTAAGCCATTTGTAGCAAATCAATGTAATGACATTTCATTATCTGCAACTGTGTAAACATCTAAATAGCAGAAAATTCTTTTACTCAAAGAACATTTGCTAAATGTTCTCACACTTGTAAAAACCTATAAATCTTTCGGTGTATCCAGTTGTGTGGGCTGCTCACACAGGCGGTCTCACCAGTGAACTCTCTGAACGACGAGTAGGGCTCGAGGTTGAAACGCTTCCTGTACTCGTTGAAAGGCTGGACCCGCAGCTGGCGAGACTCCTTTATAGTCCCTGTGGCTACCTTGGCTGCAATGGCATTAATGTTGTGGCCTCCGCCGATCTGTAAGATAAACATTCAAGGAAGACATATTAGAGATTACTTACACAAAAAGCGTAGGATTCACGCGCTAATGGTCCAAGCAGAGTGAACACCAAAGGGGACTGCTGTCTTCCTAAAATACCTCAATTTAAACGATTTCATTGGCCTCGTGAGAACAATATTTTATATTTACAGTCTTCACTTTTTCCATTTAAAAGTATAATAGTATAACTTTTCCGCTCAAAGCGCCTCAGGCTGAACAAGAAGTGCTACAGCTAGCTGCTGATGCTTTGGTTTACATTTAGAAATATCCACAGCGTTTCATGTAAATAGTGTTGGCATGACCTATTGGGAAAATTTTAAAGGGGGGTGGGAGTGTATTATGCAAAATCAACTTTTTTTAGCTTTGTACCATGCTATGTTATTCACTTATTTAAAACATACCCAGAGTGTTGCTTTAACTCATTCATGCATGTTTAAGAAATATTTCTATCTCCCCTGGTAGCCGTGTGGAGCTGCCTAAATGCTTGCTGGTACAAAGCACCACCTATTTACACAAAGCTCCTCCCCGGAGCTCAGTCTGCAGCCGAGTTCCTTCCACAGAGCACCCCTCCCATGAAGCATTGTTGTGAAGATGTGCTGAAGTGGGAGTGTCATGAACGGTAGAAAATTTTTAAAGAGACAGAGGCCAATTTCAAGGCCAATTTTCTACAAGCTTTGATGCAAAGTCAGTTTTATTTTTGATATATACAGATTTTTCATAACAACTGAAGGTAACAGTTGATTGTGGTAGAGAAAAGAATCATGTGCCTGAAAAATACATAATATCCACCTTTAATACTGGAATCATGTTCAGACCCCATGTAAAAGTAGTAGTAGTACATTATGGTCTTGGCCTAGCTCTGACTAGCATTTACCAGATGGGCAGCTTTGATAAGCAACTCATCTGGTCCTATTCAGCACGTGAACGTGCAGCTAACATCCAAGTCTTCTCTCCATCTGAATAAAAAAACTACTGTTATTTATATGCTTCGCAATCCAAGACCTACAGAACGAGGGCTAAGCGAGAAATAATGAGGCTTTATCCCTTGTGACACAACATTTCAGGTATACGAAAAAATATTGAAATTTATTGTTAGCAAAAAATCTGTCAAAATTTACTCTGGTGATTTGGGGTTGAATTTTTTGTATTTTACATGCATAAATAGCTCATAATTCTGGTCAGAATTAAACTCTCTTCAAACTGAGGCTGCTCAAACAGTTACCTACAACAGATAAGATACTATTTGTTCGTAGACTTTATACAGAACCCCGTTGAACTGATCTGAACTATCACTTTAAAGAAATGTTTGATTCAGGTTTATTTATAAGAATTTATTTGTAATCCAGCTCCACTGCATCATGTTCTTTACTCATTAAATGTTGAGTTGTGCAGTTTTATATTGCACACTTAGATTTACAATAATAAATTAAATAACTTACTTCTACAAGTAGGGAAGAGAAAGACACGTTTTACCATGAAAAACATTTTAGTGGAGGCTATTGTTGTGTGTTATCTCAGTCGTTTCTGGTTTTTGAAAGGTTTTATTTGGTTCCAGTCCAATGTAAAGCACTGGATGTGATTAACACAACACAAACGCAGCAAAACATTGCAGCAAAACAGGAAAATGAGGCATAAAAGTCAGATGTTTGATGCTGAACAACGTTATTTCCCAGAAATATACAGAAGCCCTGAGTGGGAGGAGTTTTTCCTCCAGTCTGACCGAACCTGACTTTCTGAGCTGTGAGCGGCCGTTCATCACCTGACCAGCGACTTGTCGAGAGAAGGCATCCACCAGCTTCTCCACCCCGTAGTGTGTGAGAACGGACGTGTTGAACAGGAACTGCGCATACGACAGCTCCTCGCTGTTTATGTGGAAGCTGTCGGGCATCAGAGGGTGCCAGTGGTAGAGCTGGCTGAACTCCAGCGCGATGCGGTTCCCGTACTGGAAATGGGAGTGAAACAGCAGGGTGGGGTCGAACTTCAGCTGCAGCCGGTAGCCGCTCAGGTGTTGCACGTACTCCTCGATCACGATCCGGATCGTCTCGCCTGCAAACACACACACACACACACACACACACACACACACACACACACACAC